CAAGGCCTCTCTCCAGCCTCCTCTGTCCCTGCTTCGGCTTAAGAGCGGGAGGGCTCTTCCTGTGCTCTGAGCCCTGGCTTTTAATGAAAGGCGACTCAAAGCGTTTCCCTGAAGATACACTTCCCGCAAATCTCCCTCAGCCCCCCCCCCCCCCCCTTGCCTCCCTCCGTTTCTGTGTGGTTTCTGGAAGGGTTTCTCCCTCCCTCCCTCCCTCCCTCCCCCTCCGCCCCGACCCCCTTTTCCTCTCCAGCAGCAAAGCTGTAAATCCTGAGCCCTGAACGTCAAGGCAGATTCCGCCCGCAGAGCCAGGCCTTCCATCAATCCTCCGATCAATAAAATGCAGGGCTCGGTGGGCTCTGTGTTTACCTTAGATGGTCTTGTTCCATCTCCCTTGTAGCAACAGGCCTTCCTGGAGGAAGTCAAGCAAGCCGCCTGGAGTCCCAAATTGGCAGGATAGGAATCACAATAAAATAAATATTGCCTTGCTATGGGGACAGCAGCCCCGCCAGCCCTCACCAGAACCTGAAAAGATTTGATCAGTCGGCTCAGTTGGGGGGTGTTTAATACTGAAGGGAAAGAGGAAACATAGAAGGGTCAGAAGTCAGACATTGGGTGCATTTGCAATGTGGAACTGATGCAGTTTGACACCACTTTAATTTATTGTCGAAGGCTTTAATGGCCGGAATCACTGGGTTGTTGTGAGTTTTCCGGGCTGTATGGCCATGTTCCAGAAGCACTCTCTCCTGACATTTCACTCACATCTATGGCAGGCGTCCTCCAACCTCACAACCTCGGAGGATGCCTGCCATAGATGTGGGTGAAACGTCAGGAGAGAATGCTTCTGGAACACAGCCATACAGCCTGAAAAACTCACAGCAACCCAGTGAGTTACCAGTACTATTTGTGTAGGAAGGCTAAAACCTTGTAAAATTGCAACTCTCAATATTCCACAGCTTTTAAAGTGTTGTCCAGCTGCATTAATTCTCCAATGCGGATGCACTCGTTGTGCCATGAGAGCTGGGGAATTTTTAAGAAATAGGTTGGACCAACAAGGCCAAATTATGAGTTTGTAGACACTGGGGGCCTTTCCACGCAGCCCTATATCCCAGAATATGAAGGGATTAAAATCCCACAATATCTGCTTTGAATTGGATTATCTGAGTCCACACTCAGATAATGTGGGATTTTCCACCTTGATATTCTGGGATATGGGGCTGTGTGGAAGGGCCCCAAGAACAGTGCAAGCCAAAGACTGATAAAAATAGCTCGCATATCTCTGCATGCCAGCTATAGGCCTTCTTGCATGGAATACCAGAGTCACAAGGCTTGCCAGAGGGGTGCCATGGACTGAAATCACCTTCCGAAGAGATTTTCCCCCCAGGACAGGTAGGAAAGAGGGAGAACTTGTGCAGCAAACCCAGCCCCCCCCCTTCCTTTTTACAAAACATGCTCATCACCCAAAGGCATAGTCAGACTTGCTGAGACATGGACTTGTCTTTTTTTTTTTTTGGAAGGATGGTGGTTGCTGATAGCCAGAAACAGGCACATCAGCGTGACAGCTACCTTGTCACACCTGAGGGAGCAGGTTAGAGACAAGAGCCTATTCTGACCCAGGACTTTGAAAGTGATTTGGCTCCATTTGTGTGAGGGAAGTAATGTGGATGTGTGTTTAAGTAACCACCATTCCCCATACCTAGATTGAGGGTCTGGAAACAAGCACATTTATTTAAATGCGGTCAGTTCCTTGATTAAGCCAGTAAAATGTTACTGCCTATGAAGTGGCTTAGTTTGCTTGCAGCTACGCTTTCTACTGTTACTGCTCCCTAGAAACTGGGAGTTGGATCCTAGGAAACTCAATGAGAAATTCTACTCTGTTGACCTTCTGGGTTGACGGCTGAAGCCATTCCTTTTACAGGATTGGAGTCAGGCAGGGCTCTGGAGGAGCAAAGGTTGAATGGGTCCCCTGGCATAATATCAGAGTACATACTTACTTACATTAGCTGCAACATGGCCAGATAGGTCAACAGACCAGTATGACTACAGAAGGCATTGGCAACAAATAAATTCCCTCCATTTTTAAAGATCCAACATTTGGCTTGTTGTAAGTTTTTCGGGCTGTATGGCCATGTTCCAGAAACATTATCTCCTGACATTTCACCTGCATCTATGGTAGGCATCCTCCAACCTCATAACCTCTGAGGATGCCTGCCATAGATGCAGGCGAAACTTCAGCAGAGAATGCTTCTGGAACATGGCCATTCAGCCCGGAAAAACTTTCAACAACCCAATCTAACATTTGTTTGTATTAGGGTGGATGGCCAAAGGCTCTATATCACCTTTTGAACCTGGTTGGAAAAGTTGACACTCTGAATGTTGTAGGCTGGAAGTCCCAGAAGTCTCAGCTAGGAAGGACTGTGATAAAGCATTGTGAGAATTGTGGTGCAAAACAACAAGATGGCCATTTGTTTGCTTTGTTGTTAAATTTCAGTGACAAGAGCCTGCTCATGGAGTGAGCAACTTGTAGGTTTTCAGATGCTCTTGGTCTGCAACTCTAATTGACTTGTGCTGGGGAAGATTGCTGGGAGTTGGAGTTCCACAGTATCTAGAAGGCCACAAGTTAGGGCCTGATTCTTTAGGCAAAATTTGGCGAGTGAAGATGGTACAATTGAGAAATTTGTCTCAGAAGGCTAAGAGCCCTTCCACACAGCCATATAACCCAGAATATCAAGGCAGCAAATCCCACAAGATCTGCTTTGAACTGGGTTATCTGAGTCCACAATGTCATATATTCCAGTTCAAAGCAGAAAATGTGGGATTTTTTTCAACTGTGTGGAAGGGGCCTAGGTTGCCTATTTATAACTTTCAAAACCCTCTCAAAGTCCATTGAATGTGATATGGGTCAAACCACACTCACTTGATGCAAGAGCCTGAATATTGGACTTGGAAACACCAGGGTTTGAATTCTGCTCAGCTTTAACCTCTCAGAACAAATCTTGCCAATAAAACCCCTGATAGGTCAGGAGTAAGTCAGAAACTACTTGAAGGTGAACAACAGCAACAGTCTTAAAAGCAGGCAATGGCATGTCTCCCTTGACTAACCCTTGCCAAGAAAATGCTAGGAGGGGGTCGCTATAAATTGGAGCTGACCAGAAGACCCTTAACAATAACAAACAAGATAACCTTGTTGAGGATTAGAAGAAACTGATCTAGGTCAGGCCCCAGCCTTGAATCCGAGACTAGAAAGGAGGAGGGAGGGACGGAAGTATTTGTTGTTGTTGTTAACTGCCCTCCAATAAGTTTCGACTTATGTTGACCCTGTGAATGAAAGGCCTCCAAGTTACCCTGCCATCCACAGCCTAGTCAAGTCCTGCAGATTGGGACTTTCTTGGCTGAATTTACCCACCTGGGGTGCCCCCTTCTTCTTTTCCTGGTGCCTTCTACTTGATCAGTGTTGTCTTTTCCAAGGAGTGCTCAACAAGGAGTATCCTGAGGGCCGAGAAGGGCGTATACAAATACAGCAAATAAATAAATAAATAGTAAATAAAACGGGAGCCAACATGGTTTTGAGGAGTAGTTTTCAACCTGTGGGTCCCCAGATGTTTTGGCCTTCAACTCTCAGAAATCCTAACAGCTGGTAAACTGGCTGGGATTTCTGGGAGTTGTAGGCCAAAATAGCTGGGGACTCACAGGTTGAGAACCACTGCTCTAGATCAGGGGTCCTCAAACTAAAGCCAGTACAGCCCTCCAAGGTCATTTACCCAGCCCCTGCTCAGGGTCAACCTAAATATGAAATGACTTGAAAGCACACAACAACAAATCCTATCTCATCAGCCAAAAGCAGGCCCACACTTCCCATTGAAATACTAATAAGTTTATATTTGTTAAAATTGTTTTTCATTTTAATTATTGTATTGTTTTTAAGTGTTTTTTGCACTACAAATAAGATATGTGCAGTGTGCATAGGCATTCATTCATTTTTTTTTTCAAATTATCATCTGGCCCTCCAACAGTTTGAGGGACTGTGACCTGGCCCTCTGTTTAAAAAGTTTGAGGACCTCTGCTCTACGGGTTTAAGCTCTGGACTCAGGGCACTTCTAGACTGTAGATCAGGCATGGGCAAAGTTCGGCCCTCCAGATGTTTTGCACCACCGGCTGTTGGGAATTGTGGGAGTTGGAGTCCAAAACACTTGGAGGGCCGAACTTTGCATGCATAGGAATGTGGAACGGGATGAATCCCTCACTCTAATCCGATCTCTAGTCTAGGTCTGGAAACTTGATGACACAAGAGATTGTGCAGTCCAGGGATGAACCAACCCAACAAGTTTGACACCACTTGAACTGCCACGGCTCAATATTATAGAATCCTGGCAGTTGCAGTTTGGTGAGGCACCAACAGTCTCTGACAGAGAAGGCTATCTCCTGTTAATTCATAGCATTGAGTCATAACAACTAGAATGATTGGGTTGTTGTAGGTTTTTCGGGCTATATGGCCATGTTCTAGAACAGTGGTTCTCAAGCTGTGGGTTCCCAGGTGTTTTGGCCTACAATCCCCAGAAATCCCAGTCAGTTTACCAGCTGTTGGGATTTCTGGGAGTTGAAGGTCAAAACATCTGAGGACCAACAGGTTGAGAACCACTGTTCCAGAAGCATTCTCTCCTGACGTTTCGTCTGCATCTATGGCAAGCATCCTCAGAGGTTGTGAGAACCTCACAACCTCCGAGGATGCCGGCCATAGATGCAGGCGAAACGTCAGGAGTGAATGCTTCTGGAATATGGCCATATAGCCCGAAAAACCTACAGCAACGCAGTGATTTCGGTCAGAATAACTAGAATGATGCCAGACTGCTTGAGTGATGGTCTGCCATAGCAGGTGACACTCTCTCAGCCTGGAAGAAGGGCCAGATCTTGGGCAAGGCAGATCCAGGGCAGGGCAGGGCCGGGCCAGGCTGGGCGCCTCTCCCATGTGTGCCTTGTGTCTCCTCTTTCCCTCCGGGGCGCAGGTGTGGTTCAAGAACCGGCGGGCCAAGTGGCGGAAGCGGGAGCGGAACCAGCAGATGGACCTGTGCAAGAACGGCTACGTGCCGCAGTTCAGCGGGCTGGTGCAGCCCTACGAGGAGGTGTACGGGGGCTACCCGTCCAACTACTGGCACGCCAAGAGCCTGGCGCCGGCGCCGCTCTCCTCCAAGGGCTTCACCTTCTTCAACTCCATGAGCCCGCTCTCCTCGGCGGCGGCGCAGTCCATGTTCTCGGCGGCGGCGGCGGCGGGGGCGCCCAGCCCGCTGCCCTCCATGGGCATGGCCTCGCCCATGGGCCACTCCGCCGTGCCCTCCGCCGCCGGCCTCAACAACCTGGGCGCCGGCGCGGCCGCCCTCAACTCGGCCATGGCCTCGCCCGCCTGCCCCTACGGCCCGCCGGGCTCGCCCTACAGCGTCTACCGGGACACGTGCAACTCCAGCCTGGCCAGCCTCCGCCTCAAGTCCAAGCAGCACTCGAACTTCGGCTACGGAGGCCTGCAGGGGCCCAGCGCCGCCGCCGCCGCCGCCAGCCTCAACGCCTGCCAGTACAACAGCTGACCGGGCCCCCCGCCGGGAGCAGGCCCCGCCGGGAGCAGGAGCGGGACCAGGCAGGAGGCGGACCCAGCAGCAGGCGGCCCCGGACGGAGGAGAGGGGCAGCAGGGAGGGGGCGGGAGGAGGAGGAGGAGGAGGCCAGGCCCACGGATGAGTTGCAATGTGCGCCTTTGATTGTTGTGCTTTTTGTGCTTCTTCTCCTCGGGATGATGCGGGTTTTGTAGGTGTGTTTACTTGAACTTGCACAGGACTGTCTTCGACGAGCGTCCACTTTATACGAGGAAATACGGTAACGCTTTGCGGGGGGGGGGAGGGTGGCAGCGGAGGGGGAGGGCTCCGGAGACGGGGAGGAGGGCCTCGGTTGAGCTCAGCTTGGGGGTGGGCGCTGGAGGCGGAGGGAGGGAGGGAGAGACAGGAGGAGGAGGAGGAGGAGGAGGAGGAGGAGGAGGAGGAGAACACCCCCCGCAGCCCCAGGAAGGAAAAAGGAGGGCTGGGAGGGGCAGAGGGGCGCCCCGCTCATCCAGGGGGACACTCCTCCTCGAGCAAACTCGTCCTGACCAGGGTCAACCACTGCAGTCAAGGTCCCGTCCCCCTCTTCCCTTCTTGTTCTTAGCCATTGAAACCGGTGTCGTGTTCGTGGGTGGTGCTGTCGTTGTTTCCCGGCGCATCGCTCTTCTTGAAAAGGTGTGTTTCTTTTAGCTGAAAGCGAGGAGGATCCAGCCATTCCCAGCACTAGGCCACCCCCAACCCTCCCTTCCCTTTTTTCCCTTCCCTTCCCTTTCCCTTCCTTCCTTCCTTCCTTCCTTCCTTCCCTTCCTTCCCTCTCCCTTCCCTTCCCTTTCTTCCTTCCTCCTTCCTATCCTTCCTTCTTCCTTCCTTCTCCTCCTTCCCTCCTCTCTCCCTCCCTCTTCCTTCCTTCCTTCCTGCCTTCCCTCCATCCTTCCTTCCTTCCCTCCCTCTCCCTCCCCTTCTTCCTCCTTCCTCCCTCCCCTCCTTCCTTCCTTCCTTCCTTCCTCCTTCCTTTCTCTCTCCCTTCCCTTCCTTCCTTCCTTCCTTCTTCCTCCCTTCTCCTCCCTTCCCTCCATCCCTCCTTCCCTTCTTCCCTCCCCTTCCTTCCTTCCTCCTCCCTCCCTTCCCTTCCTTCCTCCTTCCTCCCCCTTCCCTCCCTCCTTCCTCTCCTTCCTGCCATCCTTCCTTCCTTCCTTCCTTCCTTCCTTCCTTCCTTCCTTCCCTTCCTTCCTTCCTTCCTTTTCTCCAAGAGCACAAAATCCTAATCTTCCTCTCTTCCCCTTAAAAAGGAACTTTTCTCAGCCCTCCCCTCCCTTCCCCACCACACTTTGCAAAGTCTTACCCAGATAATCAAATTATCACCCAACTTTATTTAAAGGTGTAATTTTTTTAATTTAATAAAAGAGGGGGAAAGAAGAAAGAAATCTCCTAGAGAATCTAGGGAAAATGGTTTTTAAAGACACAGAAAAGGACTATCCTACAAAAAAAACCCTTTGTTGTTGTTCTTGTTGTTCTTGTTGTTCTTGTTGACACTGCATCTTGAATAAAGGAGTTGAGTGACCACATGGATGGGGAAATGTGTGAAAAAGTGACTTTTGTCTTTCCAGCTCTGAACAAAAACTAAGGAATCCAAAACAAGAAATTTTAAAGGTGTTCTGTTGTAAATGTAGATTCCCCCACCCCCCAAAAAAACAAATGAGTTGCTTTTGTGGGCAGATAAAAGCCCATGGAAAATATGATTTAAAAATATTAATACGCATACAAAATGCATATGAAGTTTTCTTGCAGGCATATTTGTTGCTTCTTTCTGTCTCAATACTTATTACCTGTAGATGACAAAAAATTCCCGTAATATAAAATGCACAAGGTACTTCTTTCCCAGTGTATTCCCACCTGTGGTAACCCCTTATGCTGGATGTTTCAATAATGCTGTTGTGGAGGATGCAGTCTATATATTGTTTTATAAGTTATGTTTTTGTGATTTTTTTCCAAATTAAGAGCATGGGAATAATAATAAGAAGAATAATAAAACCCTTCTGAAATGCGTCTAGTCTTCCTTTCTAGCTATGTTGATGTCTAGACCCTCCAATTTAAAACAAAAACAACTCCTGCAGGATATGTTAAAATGCAAAGAGTGACATTCAACATTGCAGTCTGATGGTGGTGGGTTTTTATTAGTTTCATAGGATTCATCATAAGCCAGAAATATAAACATTGCGATGAGACCACTTGATTTTAAAATAAAAGTACCCATAATGGTATGTGCAGAAATGGGAGCATTAGCTCAGTACGCTTGTCTCTGAAAACAGCATATTGGCACTTCATTCCCAGTGGGTTTTATTGCCAAATCTCTGGTTTACCCACTTAAAAGTGCTTCTATTTTAGTAAATTCCTGTTAATTTTACACTACTGCTCCTCTTTACTTGGAGTTATAATTAATAGGGTTTACAGTCTGCACAGAAGTCCTACAGAGTTCAACCAGTTGTGGACTTATAGATCTGTGCATGTACAAGACCTTCAGTATTTTAAGATCCCAATTCAATTGTTGGGAGAGAACATTCGTACTACAATTCTGTGTTCATCTACTTAAATGTAAATCCCACTGCAGAAAAGCAGTTCAAGCCCATGTAATAGGCTTACTCATTAAAGCAGAGATGTTTTTTTTTTCAACTATACACAACATTTGCAATTGTAATAGTAAATATTTTCAGGTCCCTTCACTTGCCTTATATCCCAGGATCTCATCCCAGATTATCTGTTTATCCCAGGTTATCTGGCAGTGGAGACATATATCCTAGTTCAAAGCAGATAATCTGGGATCAGATGCTGGGATAAAGGGCAGTGTAGAAGGAGCCTCAGAATTCTGGTTCTAAACAGGTTGAAATGAAAACAACCCCTTCGCTGAAATCAGTGAAAGGTTAACTGCAGAGCTGAGTACCTATGTTCAAGATCTTGATTCTGTAGATTCATCTTTCTCCTAAGACCAGAAAGTGGGGCTGATAATGAGCTGAAAGCAGGAGTAAATGAGAATTTGGATTGGTTCTGGTTTTGATTAGATTTGCACATTTCTTCCTAAAATGTGTGGAAGACCTGGAGAGTTTTAAAATATGGAAAAATAATATGAGCAGTTAGGGGTATCTAGAAAAGTAGCCTGGAAAACTTAAGCCTGGACTTCAGTTTCTATGGATTCAAAAGTGATTTGTGAATGAGGGTGGCCATCTTTTTGTTTAGGTTGTTGTAGGTTTTTCAGGCTATATGGCCATGTTCTAGAAGCATTCTCTCCTGACCTTTCACCTGCATCTATGGCAAGCATTCTCAGAGGTTGTGAGGTTTGACAATCTCTGAGGATGCTTGCCATAGATACAGGCGAAAGGTCAGGAAAAAATGCTTCTAGAACATGGCCATATAGCCCGAAAAAGCCTACAACAATCCAGTGATTCCGGCCATGAAAGCCTTCGACAATACATTGAACATCTCTTTGTTTTTCTGGCAGAATCATTATATTTAATAGCAAAATGACAGACAGGTACAATACAGTCCCTTCTGTGATGAAATAGCTGCATCTATTGATTTATCGGTGGAGATAGGTGAGAATTCTCTTTGGTAGAAGTTTTTATAATGTATTCTCCAAGGAAGGCTTTCATGGCCAGAATTACTGGGTTGTTGTGAGTTTTCTGGGCTGTATGGCCATGTTCTAGAAGCATTCTCTCCTGAAGTTTCACCTTCTTTTATGACAGGCATCCTCAGAGGTTGTGGGGTCAGGATGCCTGCCATAGATGCAGGCAAAATGTCAGGAGAGAATGCTTCTGGAACATGGCCATAAAGCCTAGAAAACTCACAACAACTCAGTTTTCATAATATCTTACCAAAACATGCACATTTTATTATAAGTCGAATAGTATTTTGGTGAGGAAATAGAATTATGGAAGAAAATGGAAATGATATTGGAAGCAAACCAGGTTCATTCTGGTCAGTTCTTTGTTGGGAAACAGTCAAGAAATACCAGGTGCTGTGGGCTATATTTTAGGGAAAGGATCAGGCAAAACTACCTCTTGAGTCTATGAAAGCCTATGAAATTGATGAATTTTGTACATTGACAGGTGGCTTGAAGGCTCATGCGCATACATGCAATTATCTATTGAGATTGCTGACTTTTCTGCCTGCTGAGTTTTAAGCACTAACAGATCATTGCAATAAACTCTCTGAAAAGACAGGCTTCTGGGATGACTAATTTCTTTGCAACAGCCATTACAAATATTTCCAGCCTATCATTTGGGCCTTACAAATTGCCTGGGCAAGGGAAAACACCTCCAGCTTCGAAGTGGGAAACAGTATGTGGCAACCACCATATTTCCTATACAGTTCTGTTTCTGAAGTTTATATTTTCCCCAGACCACGTAGACCAAGTCATTTCCAGGGCGACAATGACAAACCCTTATGTAAAGATGTAAACCTTCAACCATTTCATCTTCACACGTGAGGAGAAATAATGAGTTTACTCCCCACTGTGGAAGAAAATTAATATTCCTTCCTACACAGGGTTCTTCCTGTATTGAAGAGTTGCACAGGAATTATTCCGAGCAGAAAAACACATGCTTTCCTGCACAAAAAAACATGTTTCCTCCGTAGGAAATAGTGTTTTCTATGCTGGAAACATTCTTTCCTATACAATTTTGTGCAAAAAAGCCCTGTGCATAATTTTGGAATACGAAACACCAGGATAAATTTGCTCAGAATTCTTACTGGTCTATTATTGTGAGGACAAATAATTATGAATATCCTTTTCATTCCTAGCCTTGTGTAATTTATATATAGAGGGAGGGGGGAAGGAGGGAGGGAGGGGGGAAGGAGGGAGGGAGAACATGCTCATTATTGTACAATAGTTGTTTCCCAAGCTCTTTATCCTCATTTAGCCTGTTGGATTAAAGTCAGGCAAGGGTGCTGCAGTTTATCCTGGGAATTGTACAGGGAAATAGGAGTATTTGAAATTCGATAGTCTCAAAAGAATTCATTGACACTTCAAAGGAAGAGA